CCACCGCGCAGGCTCCACTGGGCTCTTTTGGATCGCTAGCTCTTGGGGGGGGGGGGAACGTGGAGATCTGTCCTCACAGAGGAGGGAGAGCTTGTACCTGAATGAAACTTGGTCTTAAAGGTGCCACTGGACTGCTGGGGGCCGGGGGGGGCTCTGCAGCTTACCTGGCTGCTTCTTGCTCTGACTGAGGGCTGCTTGGAACAGGGGGCGGGGCTTGTTGCATGGGCCCGCCCCCTGGGCTCTTTACTGCCGGAGCGCCGCTCCTGTGCGCTCCTGCAGGAAATGACCCCTGGGTGCACCACACTCCACTCTTTGGAGAAAGGGTGGGATAGAAATGTGATGATAGAAAGCTCGGATAGTCTTTCCCTGTTGGTTGACTGCCACCTCAGCCTGTCAGAAGGGCCTCAGGGAGAAAGATTTGAAGGCTGTCCAGACAGACGTCAGGAGTGATTTGTCACCACTGATGAGCCCGCAGCCCCTGCCTCTGCAGTCTGAAGCGGTGGGATCCCGACAGGGCTATATTGCTAGCTTATGTTTCCACGAAACCTCTGGCCGCGCTTTTTTCCAGTTCCCGAAAGCGAACGAATGGAATTTCGACAACTAACAGAGCAAAATATTCAGACTGTTTGATCCTATGCTTTACTAATGTAAAACTAATGATACTTATAAGAGGACCCCCTTGTTTGCGATGGTGGCCAGTCATTCCAGCAGCAATCTATGGCGAAACGGAGGGTGTGGGAACTAAAGGCTGCCCTGGACATTGTATTGTTTCTTCCCCCTGGAATTACATGATCGCTAGCCCCAGTGTCCTGACGAAGCCCACCAAGCAAGAAGAAGAAGAAGAAGAAGAACAAGAACAACAACAAAAACAGCAACAACAACAGGTTTTATACCCTGCCCTTCACTCCCCAAAGGAGTCTTGGAGAAGACACTCCACTCTTTGGAGAAAGGGTGGGATTGAAAGCTCGGATAGTCCTGCCCTTTTGGGCAACCGCCACCTCAGCCTGTCAGAAGGGCCTCAGGGAGAAAGATTTGAAGGCTCTCCTGACAGACGTCAGGAATGATTTGTCACCACCGATGAGCCCGCGGCCCCTGCCTCTGCAGCCTGAAGTGGTGGGAATCCCAACAGGGCTATATTGCTAGCTTGTGTTTCCACGAAACCTCTGGCCGCGCTTTTTCCCAGTTCCCAAAAGCGAACGAATGAAATCTCGACACCTAACGGAGCAAAATATTCAGGCTGTTTGGTCCTATGCTTTTAATAGTGTAAAACTAATGATACTTATAAGAGGACCCCCTTGTTTGCGATGGTGGCCAGTCATTCCAGCAGCAATCTATGGCAAAACGGAGGGAGTGGGAACTAAAGGCTGCCCTGGACATTGTATTGTTTCTTCCCCCTGGAATTACATGATCGCTAGCCCCAGTGTCCTGACGAAGCCCACCAAGCAAGAAGAAGAAGAAGAAGAAGAACAACAACAACAACAAAAACAGCAACAACAACAGGTTTTATACCCTGCCCTTCACTACCCAAAGGAGTCTTGGAGAAGGAGGAGGAGAAGAAGAGGAGGAGGAGGAGCTGGTTTTATACCCTGCCTTTCACTACCCAAAGGAGTCTTCAAGAAGGGAAGGAGGAGGAGCTGGTATTATACCCTGCCCTTCACTACCCAAAGGAGTCTTGGGGAAGGAGGAGGAGAAGAGGAGGAGGAGGAGCTGGTTTTATACCCTGCCTTTCACTCCCCAAAGGAGTCTTGGAGAAGAGGAGGAGGAGGAGCTGGTATTATACCCTGCCCTTCACTCCCCAAAGGAGTCTTCAAGAAGGGGAGGAGGAGGAGGAGGAGGAGCTGGTTTTATACCCTGCCCTTCACTCCCCAAAGGAGTCTTGGAGAAGGAGGAGGAGAAGAAGATGAGGAGCTGGTTTTATACCCTGCTCTTAGCTCCTCCCAGGTTCTTGGTCCTTCACCAATAGCAGACTAGGGGGGGAGGGGAGGAGTGGCTGTATTCATTCAGGAGGCTTACTCCTTCAGGGCGCTTCCATCTCCAAGGATCACAGGCACAGAGTGTGTTGGTCCACTGTGGGAAGCTGGAGAGAGTGTGGCGATTTGGTTGGTGTACCGACCACCCAATGCACCAGCCAATAGCTTACCTTCCCTGGTGGAGGCTATATCTGGCTGGGCATTGGAACACCCTAGACTGATAGTCCTGGGTGATTTCAATGTCCATGCTGATGATGCAGCCTCCACTCAGGCAGCAGATTTGGTGTTGTCCATGGTGGCACTAGGACTCTCTCAATTTGTGACAGCCCCCACTCACCAGGCCGGGCACACGCTTGATCTGATCTTCACCATGGGGGTTACAGTGGACCAAATTATTACCCTGGCAGTGCCATGGTCAGACAACTTTGCCTTGAAGGGCCATCTGGATATTTCACTCCAACCCTGTTTGGGCGGCATGCCTATTTTGGCTCACTTGCGGACACAAATGGACCCAATGAAGCTTCAGCTGGCTCTGCAGGATCCAAAGCCCCTTGGTGGCTCATTGGATGAGCTTGTAGAGGACTGGCATGGCCGACTCTCGACAGCCATCAATGAGATTGCTCCCCGACAGCCTCTGCACCCTCAGTCTAGGCTCGCAGCATGGTTTACCCAAGAGTTGCGGCTGAAGAAGAAGAGATTGGATTTGTACCCTGCCCTTCACTACCCAGGAGTCTCTTGGAGAAGGAGGAGGAGGAGCTGGTATTATACCCTGCCCTTCACTACCCAAAGGAGTCTTGGAGAAGGAGGAGGAGAAAAAGAGGAGGAGGAGGAGCTGGTTTTATACCCTGCCCTTCACTACCCAAAGGAGTCTTCAAGAAGGGGAGGAGGAGGTTCCCTCCCCAAAGGAGTCTTGTAGAAGGAGGAGGAGGAGAAGAGGAGAAGGAGGCTGTGGTTTTATACCCTGCCCTTCACTCCCCAAAGGAGTCTTGGAGAAGAGGAGGAGGAGCTGGTTTTATACCCTGCCCTTCACTCCCCAAAGGAGTCTTGGAGCAGCTTACAATCACCTTCCCTTCCTCTCCTTCCTTCTTAAGACAGCACAAGGAAGAGACCACCAATGCTCTGAAGGACCTGGAGACCAGCAAGCATACAACAAGCTCACCTTGCTCGGGGTGACCAAAGACCTGCCCCTGATGTCAGTGACACCCCCTAAGTGACTGGACCCGGTCTTAATCATTTCAGAGGCATTATATGTACCTTCATTCGTCTGGGAGAGCAGCCGGAAGTTCCGGACTCCTTGCCTGAACTCCAGTTTGTTGACCTTCTGGATCTGAACCAAATGAAATATACCTGAAAACAAACACACAGAGATTGCCAGAAGGGTTTGAGTGGGTTATGCTTAAAAGGCCCTGCCTTTGGACTGCAATGTAGACCTAGGATCTCCTTGGTCATGTTCAGTTGGAACCACTTTCCCTGTGAAGAAAGTTTAAAGCACTTGGGGCTCTTTAGCTTGGAGAAACGACGGCTGAGGGGTGACATGATTGAGGTTTACAAGATTATGCGTGGGACAGAGCAGGTAGAGAAAGAGGTATTTTTCTCCCTTTCTCACAAGAAGAAGAAGAAGAGATTGGATTTATACCCTGCCCTTCACTACCCAAGCGGCTTACAAACTCCTTTCCCTTCCCCTTCCCACAACAGACACCCTGTGAGGTAGGTGGGGCTGAGAGAGCTCTGACAGAAACTGCTCTTTTTTCAAGGACAGCTCTTGTCAGAACTATGGCTTGCCCAAGGTCATCCAGCAGGTGCAAGTGGTGGAGTGGGGAATCAAACCCGGTTCTCCCAGATTAGAGTCTGCGCACTTAACTACTACACGACACCAAACTGGCTCTCTGGAGTAATGTCCTCTGAATGTTCTAGTTCCTTTGAGTTACTTGGGTAATGGAGCACATCCTTCGTAGGTCTCTGGTTCCAAATAAATGCTGCTAAAAAAGGACAGCCAAAAGGATTCCCCCATCTGAGTGACACGGAATATACACAAAAGGCACATACCTTTCACTAGCTTCCAGATATAGATTTCCACTTCGTCTGAGGATTCCCTCTCGACGGCAATTTTCCTCAAGTTATCTTTCTCAGATCCGGAGGCGGTGAACATGTAGATGGACACTCTGCATTTGTTGGTGTTGACCGGGGCAGCAGCTATCGCCTCGTCGTCTGCAAGGACACAAACCCCGTGGTCAGTAGTAGTGGCTTCTCAGAAACACAGGAAGGGAAAGTTGCAGGAATCAGCACTGGGGTTGCAGAGAACGAGGGCAACCCTTCATGCACTCAGCTAGCACATCAAGGAGAGAGGTATGCTAAAACTTTCTCTCTGATACACTAGTGAGAGGAAGCATGGTGCAGTGGTTAGAGTGCTGGACTAATAGTATATTGTATAGCATTGTGTGTAGCATAGCCAGGAGATCCTAAGATTGTCCGGCAACCTTAAGTTCTAGTCCTTTTATCATTATACACCACTAGGTGGCAAGCTAGATTTGTTGGGGGGGCGGCTGAGAGAACTCTGACAGAACTACGGCTAGCCCAAGGTCACCCAGCCGCCGCAAGTGGAGGAGTGGGGAATCAAACCCGGTTCTCCAGATTAGAGTCTGCTGCTCTTAACCACTACGCCACACTGTCTCTCAGAGTGCTGGATTAGGAACTGGGAAACCCAGGTTCGGATCCCTTCTTCAGCCTTTTCTTCCTCCCTAAAGTTTCCAGTGTTGTTTTCATCTTTTGTATTTATTTCGTGCTCTTGTTTTAATGAAGACTTCGTGCGTTGGCTTTAATGCCTTTTAAGATGAGATTCTAAATTGGATGTTTTAATTCATGAGCCGCCTCAGTGGTCCTATGAGGGCAGAAAGGTGGGATAATAAAAAGGTAAAGGTAAAGGTTCCCTTGCTCGAAAGCCAGTCGAGTCCGACTCTTGGGTTGCGGTGCTCATCTCCGTTTCAAAGCTGAAGAGCCAGCACTGTCCGAAGACGTTTCTGTGGTCATGTGGCCGGCATGACTAAACACCGAGGTGCACGGAACGCTGTTACCTTCCCACCAAAGTGGTACCTATTTATCTACTTGCAATTTCTTGCTTTCGAAGTGCTAGGTTGGCAGGAGCTGGAACTGGAGACGGGAGCTCACTCCGTCATGCGGCAACTCGGGTCTCGAACTGCTGAACTACCGACCTTCCACAGCCTGCAGTTCAGCGTCTTAACCACTTGGTAAGGATATAAATAAATAAATATAAGTCAAGAGCTTGCAGGGTGACCTGGGGCCGGTCACTCTCAGGGGGAGTCGGGAGGATAAAATGAGGGAGAAGAGAATTGGGTAAACTGCTTTGGGTCCCGACTGGGGAGAAAAGCAGGATATAAATAAATAAATATATACATGTGTTGCCGTCTACAGAGCCCAACTACTGGTATACCAAAGTCAGCCATGTCTATTTCCAGCATCTCCAGCTAAAAGGATCTGATACTAGGTGTTGTACAATATCTCGAGCAGAGACCTTGCCAGTCAGAGCAAGTAGTACTGACCATGACAGACCAAGGGTCTAACTCGGTATAAGGCAACTTCGTGTTCATCAACTTCATGTGTATGTGTGTAGCTAGATCCAAGTTCCAGTAGCACCTTGGACCCCAACAAGATTTTCAGAGTATGAGCTTTCGAGAGTCAAAGTCAGTTGCTGAACTGCAACTGATAACGAACCTCAAGACAATGCATCCACCCGGACTGAATCAAGACCTAGGTTTCCTGTCTCATCACCAATGCTGATTTCTCCACACCTACTACCTCTCTGCATATCACACCTAATCCGATCACACCTGCTATTGTCCTTTTCCTGCTAATGTCATTTGGCATCTGAAACCATGCCACTTTCCAATATATAGGACAGGTGGACTCCCATTCTAGCTGTATCTGAAGAAGTGAGCAGTGACTCACGAAAGCTCCTACCCAGCCATGGATTTTGTCAGTCTTGAAGGTGCTCCTGGACTCTTAATCTTTTCTAAAGCTCCCTTTGTCAGAGTCTGTGGACATTCTTAATCCATTCAGAATTTAGACAATCTGTTGGATCCTATTCCTCTGTGCCACAAATTTTGTCACTTCCCTCCAGTATCGGGAGCTTCAAACTCATGCGTCTGCCTGAAAAATAAACATGTTCAACGAAGTAGCACCTCTGTCAAGAACACAATTTTCGGGTTATGAAGAGTCAAAACTCCCTTTGTCAGGTACGAGAGCTTCGACTTGCAAAAGTTCATACCCCCAAAATCTTGTGGGTCTCTGAGGTGCTACTGGACTCAAATCTCGTTTTTCTACTGCCGATGAACACGGCTTCCCTCTGAAGCTACGTTTATATGTGTCTGTGTGGTGTGGTCGGATGGAGCCTACATGTTCAGAAACAGTATACCCCTGAATATTCACTACGAGGGAGAGCTCTCGTGTTCATGTCTCGCTGGTGGACTTCCACAGGTATCTCTGAAGAACAGCATCCTGGGCTAGATGGTCTGGTTCAGTGCTTACACTCTATACTTGTGATTCAGTGGAATAATAAGCCAGTGTGATCCTGGCCAATTCCACAGCCCAAGTTCCAGCACAGGAGAGAAGTCGAATCCTCCCCACCCAGCTTGGTACCTTCACACACCCTGGGCGATTTCTCACTAGAGCTGCCTCGCAGCACAGCCGCCATTTGTCCCGACACAAACATGTCAATTTCACACCCGAAGCTCCGGGGCTGCATTTTGACTCGGGGCTTTGCCCGATTTCCTCCGCAGTTTCATGATCCTGGTTTTTGAGGATCATGAACAATGTTCCCTCTAAGCTGTGAAGTCTTGCGAGCAAAAATTCTACTTTGTGAGCTATTGGCATTAAGGTTGTGAGCGAGCGATTTGGCTACTGCGTGAATCAGTTTGCCCTGGAGCCCTCCTTCCTGAGCCAAGACAAAAATGTGTGAGCCGGAGGCTTAAAAAACTGTGAGCTGGCTCACACTAACTCAGCTTAGAGGGAACACTGATCATGAAACTGTGGAGGAAATCAGGCGAAGCCCCGAGTCAAATGCAGCCCCGCAGCCTCGGGTGTGAAATTGACATGTTTCTGTCGGGGCAAACGGCGGCTGTACTGCGAGGCAGCTCTAGTGAGAAATCGCCCCATATCTCTTACATATAATTCCTGGTTTTGGCCTCAGCGTGTTTAGTCTTAACCTGCCAGAGGTCCGGTGGTGGAAAGGGCCATCAAGTAACAGCTGACTTATGGCGAGCCTGTATGGTTTTCAAGGCAAGAGTTGTTCATAGGTGGTCGGCCATTGCCTGCCTCTGCGTAGCAACCCTGGGCTTCCTTGGTGGTCTCCCATCCAAGTCCTAACCATAGCCGACCCTGCTTAGCTTCTGAGACCTGATGAGATAGTGCCATCCTTGGCCATCCAGGTCAGCTCGAAAGACATACAGAGGTGGTTTGCCATTGCCTGCCTCTGCGTAGCAACCCTGGGCTTCTTTGGTGGTCTCCCATCCAAGGACTAACCAGGGCTGACCCTGCTTAGCTCCCGAGATCTGACAAGATCGGGCCAGCCTGGGCTATCCAGGTCAGGGCAAAAGACCTACAGAGGCCCCGGTCACATGGGACAGATAACGCGGGGAGGAGGTGTGGCTGTTCGCCCCGGAGCAAAATAAAGTGCGGTAGCCCGATCACACGGTCCCCCGAGTCTCTGTGCTTAGGCCGTTAGCTGGCGATCACATTGCGATGCTGCAGCGTGGAAAAGAAGCGGCACGGCATGATCACACAAGTGTTTTGCATTTGCACGCGTGCGCAGTTCCGCGGAGCAGCACTGCTTTCAGTTTCGTGCTTGTGTGCATGCGCTTATGAAAAACATCCGGTTTGCGATGGGACATGGACGGGCACCAGATGCCACGGGATACTAGCGCTCCCGTGATCAGACGCTCGCCTGTGCCGTGCGTTTTCCGGATACTAGTGCACTTTCCTTGGTACTTTTTAACTCCGCATCTTTGGCGGGACGTCACGGGTTGGCCACGGGTGCGCTACGCTTCCCAGATGTTGCGGTGTGATCGCGCCCTGAAAATCCGCCCGACATTCGTGCCTCTCGCGCGGCGAATTCTCCGTGTGACCGGGGCCAGAGGTGGTTTGCCATTCCCTGCCTCTTCATAGCAACCCTGGACTTCCTTGGTGGTCTCCCATCCAAGTCTTAACCAGGGCCAACTGTGCTTAACTTATGAAGTCTGACGAGATCTGGCTAGCCTGGGCTATCCAGGTTGGGGTACCACAGTTCTAGAGACGGCTTTTATAGTGTTTCCCCATCCTTTTCTAACTGGGCAGAGCTCAACGGAATTTAGTTCAAAACTCTGCTCCTTACTCCCTTTCAGTTTCACAGTGGCAGACTAGTGGCTACCAAGACCTCAGCAGGAGATGCTTAGGATAAACTTCCAAATTTGGTTACGTTAAATATTTTCCAACCTCAGTTTTTGCTCTGATAATTCCAAACAGAGCACTGAACGAACATTCGTCTCAATTCGAACAGAGCACTGAACGAACATTCGTCTTTGTAAATGTCCATGTCACTCTAATGTTATTCGGCATAGTTTCATCTCCCCTGCCCTGTTTTCTTCCTCTTTGCTATCACCGTCCTTGACTTCATTTGCCCATACTGCTCTTTAATCCTATTGGCTGTAGCAACCGGAGAAGGCCACATATATTAGTTCCCGAACTCTTGCCAGAAACCTGTGAAGCAAGTCGCTGTCTTCATATTGTAAACGGTAAAGATAAAGGTTTCCCTTGCTCGAAAGCCAGTCGAATCCGGCTCTAGGGTTGCAGTGCTCATCTCCGTTTCAAAGCCGAAGCACCAGCGCTGTCCGAAGACGTTTCTGTGGTCACGTGGTCGGCATGACTAAACACCAAGGCGCACGGAACGCTGTTACCTTCCCACCGAAGTGGTACCTATTTATCTACTTACAATTCCTTGCTTTCGAACGGCTAGGTCGGCAGGAGCTGGAACTAGAGACGGGAGCTCACTCTGTCATGCGGCACACTCGGGTCACGAACTGCTGAACTACCGACCTTCCACAGCCTGCAGTTCAGCGTCTTAACCACTTGAGCCACCGCAGCTCCCTTCATATTGTACACGGGGGTAAAGTGGACAGACACAGGGAGAAATGTATGTGACACACCGAAGACACCCTTGGGATCTTCCAACTGAGGTGAGGGTTGAAACTTCAGCATTCACACCTTTGGCCACTCAGCTGCCCAAGTGTTTGAATGGAAGAAGCATCGGAACTGGAGGATGAGCTTGACCTATGACCTCAGGAAGTAGTTTGAGAGCAGGTGGCAGAATGACCTTGTTGAAGCTACACAAATTGAGGTCCGGTTAGTTCCTGGAGGGGAGCTCCCCCAGACGAGGTGTTGGGAATTTGAAGCTCTTGTTTTTAAAAAATAAAATAAAACTCAATAACCTGGTACACAGAGGCCTGTTTTTGATCGTGAGTGTGGCACAAGGGAATGAAGGTTAAGTGCACGGACTCTAATCTGGGACAACCGGGTTTGATTCCCCACTCCTCCACTTGCAGCTGTGCAGGAAAGGCAGGTGATAAATCGAAAACGATAATAAATAAATAAATAATAACTCCACAGCACCCAGTACTAAAAGATAACAGAACTTTATTAGGACATAGGCAAGGCCTGTTTTGGGCCCTGCTGGCCATAACCGGCCACAGCTGACAAACAATACAAGGGGGAAAAAATGAAAACCGGAGCAAAGGCTTTTATCCTTAAGGGATCATATTAAAAGAACTATACAATATGATAAAGGAACATTTCGACATTCACAACTTCCCACAATATGATACTTTCTATATTCAGAAATGTACTGTACAAGTCCCTGATGTGTTTCGGCCAGTCTTCTGGGGTATTGGAACAAAAAGTTCTGTGTGTCTGATAGTTAGACCCTCAGCTTCCGTCCTGCCCACTAAGGCAGCCGTGCTACCCCGCAGCCGTACGGTAAACCGCTCAGATGGAAGAAGAAGGAGCTACTTCACCTGGGCATACTTTGCAGCATTTCCCTTCTACGTGCCGAGGCTCTTCACAAGGATACTCGCTGGGACACACGATATTTTGGCAGTCCTGGATCCCATCCCGACACGTGCACAGAATGCAAGGCAGGGGCACAAAGTAACGGAAGGTTGGGTGCCACACTTCCCCGTGGGAGTAGGTCTTCCCGTTGTATGCACAAGCTGGAGGAAGAGAAAAGGGTCTCAGGCAATGCTCCCTCTAAGCTGTGGAGTCTTGTGAGCAAAAAATCTACTCGGCGAGCTACCGGCATTAAAGTTGTGAGCGAGTAATTTGGCTACTGCATAAATTAGTTTGCTCTGGAGCCATCCCTTCCCGAGCTGAGACAAAAATGTGTGAGCCAGAGGCTAAAAAACTGTGAACTAGGTCACACTAACTCAGCTTAGAGGGAACACTGGTGTCAGGAGAAATTGGAAACAGGAAACCCTTAAAACGTTTGGGTTTTTAAAATTGAGATTTTAATATTTAACCACTTAAAATTTTTAATTCCTTTAAAAAATTTAAATTTAATTTAAAATTTAAAAATGTCCAATTTTATTATTGTAACCTTTTGTGCACTTCTATGATTGTTGTTTTATTCATATTGTTTTTATTGTGTTTTTTAAGAATCGTTTTATCTATATTGTAAGACGCCTTGTATTCTGCAAGCGAGAAAGGCGAGGAATAAATGTTTTAAGTAAATCATAGAATCACAGAGTTGGAAGGGACCTTCTAGGGCCATCTAGTCCAGCCCCCTGCACAACACAGGAAATTCACAAACACCTCCCCCCCATAAATATAAATACCACTGCAAGAGTCATGCAAGGGTCGATGTTCGCTAAGAATTTATCTACAATCTCCAGCTCAAAAGCGGGAGTCCATTTTTTAAATGTAAACTGTAATCCACTTGTCTTGGGAAATACTATATTTATGACGGTCAATTTAAAAATGCAAAGTAGTATCTAATTTTCCTGATGGACAATCACAAAGCCACTTAAAAAACGCAATCCCTGACACCCTACCTGATAACTCCTCTAATGGTAACACATTTAATCTTGCCCCATTGATGGATCTCCTGATGGCCCCTGGTATTTGTGGCCACTGTGCAACAGAGTGTTGGACTGGATGGGCCGTTGATCTGATCCGACACTGGCTTCTCTTATGTTCTTATGTAATAAATAAAACCATTCCATGTTTTACCCCCCACAGCATATGTTCAAAATGGCTGACAACCAGAGTGGAAAATGTAAAATTACAATATCCTATATCTGTCTGTCTGTTGATTAAAAATATCTATACTCACCTTATCTCCTTTGACTCAAGGTTGTTAACAAAACAACAGAAACTGGAAGCATCATAAGCCCCCCAAAATAAGCTAAAGCCAATACACAAAACTGTATTAAGCAGTTTTGTGCCTGTGTGGTAGGGCTTGTTCCTCAGGACCAGGGCTTGGCAGTTTGTGACTGCTTCTGCACAGCGAGAGAACCAACTTTTCTCAATTTATCATAGAGACATGTATCCTCCAAGCCATAGTTTGGCCATTAAAGCGAACTACTTGTATTATAAAGCAGGGAATCACTTGCAGTTTGTTCTGTCTTTATGCTCGTGCAGTTGGATGCATCATTTAAAGGACCAGTATCAACTATTGTCCACTTTTTGCACCTGAACAGTCAGGGGCATCTACTCAAGAAGTGACCACAATTAAGGATCAGAAATTTAGCCGGGTTCATGGGCAGGCACAGAAGGCCCACAGATACCCAAGTAGTAAGTCTCAATACAAAAATATCAAACTGATCTCCCCCCTCCTACTTTTAACTGTCTTAAAACCTGAGGCACTGCCAGACAAGTTGGGCATGGGCCACAAAAAACACACCGTAACATGTGGGAATGCAGCATAATCGTGCAAACAGATACATCGGAACAAGAACCATCCACTCGCTATTCGTAACCGGCAAGCATGACAAGAGCCGGGTCAGCAGGTTCTTGAACCTGTGTGTGCCTAATCTGAAATGGTGTTACCTCTCTTGTGTCTCTCTTTCAAGATGATTTTGACCGTCGTGCCACCCCCTCTCTGTTTGCCGCTGTTAGGGACAAACTCCAGTGAAGCACCGGTTGGCATATCAGCGGCTTCGTTTCTTGTCTCCCCTGTGCACTGCTCCCGTGTGTGGCCCTGGAGGTAACGAGGAGAGACCAGTCAGTACAGGGGATCCGCTACCATTTAGATCCGTATAAACGAGTGGGCAGGCGAGCCAATTTGCTAGCCGATTTCTAGTTGTACCATGCACAAGCGACTCTTTGCCAGACACTGGGCCCCAGCCCTGGCACCCAATCTTCCTTAGGATACCAGGCATGTACGCTACTACTGTCAGAATGGCTGTGAGAGGCGTGCTCGCTGATGCTGTTTCATGCCTTCTCTTTGCCAGAAGCGATTGCTTCTGTTCTGTAATAGAATGTCCTATAATATAAAAAAGGATATTATAGGTGGCGGTCACACATGCGAGATAAACCAGGGGGGAAGCGGGGCTATTCCCTCTGGAGGAATTCAACCTCCAGTTGCACAATCACAGAGTCCTCAGATGCTGCGCGGAGCGGCCGCCACTGTGTGATCAGACGCAACTGTGAGGGAGTCTGGGGGGAGGTTTTGCCGGTTGTCTCCGATTCGCTTAAACGGGGAATTGATTCATCCAGGGCTATTTTTGGGCAGGAACGCACAGGAACGGAGTTCCGGCTGGCTCCCGAGTTGGCCACACCCAGCAAGAACTCATTAGCATAATAGGCCACACCCAACAGCAGAAACTCATTAGGACTGGCTACATTAGGGGTGTGTGGCCTAACATGCAAAGACGTTCCTGCTACAAAAAAAGGCCCTGGGTTTTGACAACAAACAAGGTCAACGGAATAAGAAGCAAAAGGTGGGCGTGGCTGGTCAACGACACTTCTGGTAACATGGGAATGCGGCCTAATGTGCTAATGAGCGGCGCAGTCAGGGGTGTGTGGCCTAATATGCTAATGCGTTTCTGCTGCTGGGTGTGGCCTATTATGCTAATGAGTTCCTGCTGGACTTTTTCTACAAAAAAAGCCCTGGATTCATCGCTTCTCCGCACTGAGGGCTTCCTACGGCAGCACGCGATGATGCGCATACTGAGAAGGGGGAGAAAAAACAACGGCCCAGGGTCGGGATGGCCTGATCAGACCGTCCCGACGCCATGAGAGTGCGCTGGGAAAGTCCGTCTGGGTGACAGCACTTTGTAATATTGCTGGCAAGATGCCAGTGAGCCGTGAGCCAATGTGTCAGATCGTACTGATCTAGTCTGACAGTCATGTGACTAAGATGGCATCAGACTTCTGGAACAGTCACCGTGACTCAGCTATTGTGAATAGTGTAACCTGATCGGTTGATGTCAATATATATTGCCTGCAGCCATGAAATTAAAAGACGCCTGCTCCTTGGGAGGAAAGCGATGGCGAACCTCAACAGCATGATAAAAAGTAGAGACTTGACCCTGCCAACAAAAGTCCGCATGGTCAAAGCAATGGTATTCCCAGTAGTCATGTATGGCTGCGAGAGTTGGACTATAAGGAAGGCCGAGCACTAAAGAAAAAGATTCTTTTGAACTATGGTGCTGGAGAAGACTCTTGAGAGTCCCTTGGACTGCAAGAAGATCAAATCAGTCAATCCTCAAAGAAATCAACCCTGACTGTTCCCCGGAAGGCCAGATAATGAAACTGAAGCTCAAATACTTTGGCCACCCAATGAGAAGGGAGCATTCCCTGGAGAAGACCCTGATGCTGGGAAAGATTGAAGGTCAAAGAATACGGGGACGGCAAAGGATGAGATGATTGGACAGTGTCATCGATGCAACAAACATGAAACTGAGCAAACTTCAGAGGACAGCGGAAGACAGGAGGGCCTGGCGGGATCTAGTTCATGGGGTCGCGAAGAGTCGGACTCGACTTTTCGACTGAACAACAACAACAACATTGCTGTCTATCTCTGATTTGGGATCAACTGTATGCGTAGGCGCTTTGTCACTCTGTACGGTGAATTTGCTACTGAAAGTCTGTGTGACTATCTCCAGCGTCCAGTGTAAATCAATGTAAATACCCTGTATATAGAAACAGAGACACTGCTATTATTTTCGGCATTCTGAAATACCGTCACGGTGGCCCGTTCGCTACCGGACTTTCCCTGATGTCTTTTCACTCCACTTCTGTGGTGGAGCAAAACAGGTTGCCGACGGGCACAGAGCGCTTCCCAGGTGTCCGTGTCTGATTGCACCCTTTAAATCTGCCCGGCATTTGCGCCGATGGTGGGGCTGATTGTGCGTCCGATCGCACCCAGAGTGTTGGAAGAGGTGGAGAAAAAGGGAGACTAAAATGATGAAGGGGATGGAAAACCTTCCCGATGGAGAAAGGTTATTGACGTTAGGGCTCTTTGGCTTGGAGAAATGACGACAGAGGGGTGGCATGAGAGAGGTTTACAAAACTATGCCTGGGATAGAGAAGGCAGAGAAAGAAGTCCTTTTCTCCCTTTCTCACAAGACAAGAACTTGATCAACTGTATGCGTAGGCGCTTTGTCACTCTGTACGGTGAATTTGCTACTGAAAGTCTGTGTGACTATCTCCAGCGTCCAGTGTAAATCAATGTAAATACCCTGTATATAGAAACAGAGACACTGCTATTATTTTCGGCATTCTGAAATACCCCGGCCCAAAACAGTCCAGTGGCACCTTTAAGACCAAGTTTTATTCAGGTACAAGCTCTCCCTCCTCTGCGAGGACAGATCTGCACGTTCCCCCCCCAATAGCTAACAGACAAAACAAAAATATCTTCAGGGGTCATTTCCTGCAGGAACGCATTTCTCCCTTTATCACAGTACAAGAACTCGTGGGCACTCCATGAAATCGCTGAGCGGTCGGGTTAGAATGGATAAAAGCAGGGGTCATTTCCTGCAGGAGCACACAGGAGCGGAACTCCGGCAGTAAAGAGCCCAGGGGGCGGAGACATGCAACAAGCCCCACCCCCTGCTCCCAGCAGCCCTCACTCAGAGCAGGAAGCAGCCAGGTAAGTTGCAGAGGCCCCCCCCGGCCCCCTGGCCCCAAACAGTCCAGTGGCACCTTCAAGACCAAGTTTTATTCAGGTACGAGCTCTCCCTCCTCTGCGAGGACATATCTGCACGTTCCCCCCCCCAATAACTAGCAATCCAAAACAGTCCAGTGGAGCCTGA